TAAACTATGTTACAGAGTAAACACAATAAAAACATGCTTTATCTGTGACATTGTTCATTAAAATGGCACATTTCTGATGTATTGAAATCAAATACGATAGGTACATTAATGATTAGGTAATGCATTCAGCAAGTACCTTTACTTTTAATACTTAAGTATTTTTAAAAGCCAGTACTTTTTTACTTTTACTTAAGTAAAATGTTAATGTGGTACTTTTACTTTTACTTGAGTACATTTTTGTCTGTGTATTTGTACTTTTACTTAAGTAAATTTTTTGAGTACTTTCTCCACCACTGCCCTTCAGTAATCACGAGATTTAAATAGAGAAGATGGGCACATCCAACTACCTAATGCAATAGTTCACACTACACGATTTTTTTGCCCCCATTTTCCCCTTATGACAATCTTAGAACGTTAGGCGTTCCAAGATTGTCGCTGGAGATTTCGTAACTGATCATCCTGTAGTGTGTGGCGGGTTACGGTAGATCCTCATGGCCGCTCCGATCTAAATCAGGGGTTTTCCCCGCCTGGGAGCTTAACACAGCCTGTTGAATGTGACAGGTAGCCAATCAGAAAGCACGGATTCTCCTCCGTGCTTCCTGAGGGGAAATTACAGAGGGAAATCCCAAACAACTGACACGGCGCAACCCGAAGTCCAGCGGACATTGGAGATGATATAGGAAAACAACATTAATGTTTATTCAACATTTTGTGCAAAGAATATAGAAATGACAAGGGGAGAAGTTGGAGTCAAATTGCTACCACAGTTGATGAACCCGGTAACTTTTCAGCTGTTCTTCATTAACGTGACATAAATAGGTAAAAATGATTTCCATTCAGGTAGGACTTTACGCTGACTCTAGCCACATGCATCACAGGTAGATTCTAGTAAAGCATTGCCTGATAATGCCTGATTTTAAAATTAGTTAACTGGACTTGTAGCCATTATTTTGTGCCCATGTTATCAACACGTTATATCTAGGGTTTCTGTCGGCTAATGTGTGGTCTCAGGTTTTGAAAATAGGCCGACAATCGACCGACAACTCGTGTACTGTGCGCTGGACATTACACTAAGGAAATGAGGAAGGGAGGGTCAGTGGAGAGCTTTTTTGAGTCTTTTTTTCATTCAGTGTCATTAATAGAAAGAAAAAAAAGGCAGGAAGAGACGATAAAGCTGATAATTAAAATGAGGTCGATAGGTTTAATTTATCATGCGATTAATTGATTTATCGTTTATCACGACCTGTCGTGACCTAGATGTGACCAAAAAAACTGGATCCGGGCCCCCTGTAGGTCCAGGCCAGGGGTCTGCTGCCTCCCCCACCCTACCTGTAGCTCCTTCCCTGAAGTGATGTCACAAATATGTTACAAATGTGGGAGGAACTGTCTGATGTTGATTTCTAAATCAACACAGACTGAGTTACTGTTGGTGTTAATTTAGAAATCAACACTGGACTGGATTGCTTTTTATTTAACTCTTTGGAGCTGTTTAGGGAAACTAACACTTATGTTGTTGAATTAACACTGTATTTTTAACATACAACACTTACACTGGAAATCTAACACTTTTGAATTTGCTGTGTACATTTACTTAAGATCTCCACCATTGGGCAAAGACAGGATCTACTATGGCCGGCAGGAAAACATGGTTATCACATGTGGGACTATAGATAAAGAAGTTTGTCATATTGAAGTGTTGTCTAAATTGTGGCCCGATTTTTAGAATGGAGATTACAACGGGGTATGAAGAGTATTGCTTAGGGGAGAGAGGAAGCTTTGAGATAACCAAAACAGGGAATGATGATGGTTTACATCAGTGGTTCCCAAAGTCCGTCCTCAAGTTCAGGTGTTCTATCAGATAGCCCTACGCTGTCAGGATAGCATACATGCAGTTAGTACGCATGCCCATGCATGCGCATTAAGAAGTCCGACCGTCAGTGGAGTTGTCAGTTCAGCATACACAACAAGTTATGACGAAAATAAGTCATTCAATTGTCTATAATATCACATAATATGATAACTAGATAAATATACATGCGTTGTCGTGGTTTCAAAGTGTATTTAAAGCAGGTCTGGCTGCCGCTGCAGTCAACTACAACACACACCCGTGTAAAACTCATTAATCTACTTAACCGCTAAATCAGGATGTCATACAGCTGTTCATAACAAAGTGAATGATGATCTACATCATTATTCTATGTTGCTGATTAAATAAAATCATATGGTAATGACTGCATATACATGTCTGAGCTAAGCGTTTGACTATCTGACAATGTATGCTGATCTGACAGAACACCGGCATCCTGCACATTTTAGTTCTCTCCCTGGTGGTAGTAACAACCATTGCAGCAGGTCAAAGTTCTTCTTAGGCCTTCTAAAGAGCCATCATTTGATCCAGGTGTGCTAAACCAGGGAGAGAACTAAAAGATGCAGGATGCCGGCACTCGAGGACTGTTTTTGGACACCACTGGTTTACATACATTCAGTTCTAATTGGCACCAGTCATTATCTTGTTGTTGAAGCAAATAGGCTACTGTTTGTAGGTTTGCTGCCCAGTAGTAATACATCAGCTTGGGTAAAGCTATACCCTTCTGTTCTTTGTATCTCTGAAGGAACTGTCTACTGATTGTGGTGTTTTTATTACCCCACATTAATGAGGACAGCTGTTCAATCAATAAGTTTGAAGAATGATTTTGGAAGAAAAACAGATTACTCTGAAAGAGATACATAAATCTTGGCAATATATTAATTTTCCTTCAAACTACTTTGCCAGGTAGGGATAAATTTAGGACACTACACTTCTGGAGGTCATGTTTAAGATTATTAAGCAGAGGAGTGACATTTTTTTCAAACAGATCAGAAAATGATCAGGTCACATTGATTCCCAAATATTTAAATCCTGTTCTAGAGAGAGGGAACAGCAAGATGGTTTCTATAATTTGGAGCTATTAATTGGAGTCATTAATTGGAAAACATTCACTCTTTAGGAAGTTCAAATGTGTCCTGAATATTTACCAAAACGGTCTAGCAAATTCATAATGCTGAAGATAGAAAATACTGGGTCTGAGATGTAGAACAATAAGTTGTCTGTGTATAAGTACAGTCAATGTTCTAGCTGTTTTTTATAACTTCCCCTAAGGCTTTGTGAAGTCTTAAGCATAACTGAAAGTGACTCGATAGCTAAAGTGACGAGAAGTGGGCTGAGAGGACAACCATGCCCCTGGACAAAGAGAAGGGCCTGTTCTCCACTATCTTAGTGGAAAAAAAGGCATGGCTATCTCTGGAATAGATGATGTTGCTCTACAGCCTCTCACATGATGTTCTGGATTTTTGTTAGTATCACATGAAAGGTCAGCTTGCTTTGCATTTCTACAGTGGTACAGGGGTATTCCTGGCTTTTAGACTTTGAGGGGTGAATGGTCTGAACATGAATCACTAACAAATTTAGAATCTGTTACTCACCACATCCAGCATACGCAGCCTCCTCATCAGAGCCGTCCTCACAGTGTTTAATACCGTCACACACCAAAGACTGAAAGAGGCACTGGGCACGGTTCTTGCAAACAAACTCCATGTACCGAGTACAAAGGGGATCTGTGGGGGAAACACATGGAACATTTAGGTCAGGAAGAATGAGCTTCCATCTTACTGCCATGTTTCTTTCCTATCTGATCAAGTATCTCTGATTTATTTATTAACCATTTACTTTAGTCTAAACTGTTTAAAGCTGTTTGTTTAGTGCAGATGGCAGGAACACCTAGGCCTGTCACCATAAATTTTGCTGAGCGATTGTGTAAAGAATTATTGCGATAAACAATAATATTGTTTCAAGACCAGTTGACACTGATTTAATGGAAATGACTAATAATGCATGTGATTTCCTGCCATAGATACACTTTATTTTCAAAAGAACACATAACACTGGAACTGATAAACTAAAACAACCAAAAACAAAAAGTAAAATGGATTCTCAGTCTCCATTAACAAAATATGTACATGAATAAAAACTAAACAACATACAGCCAAAGTGGAAATAAATAATGCATTCAACCAAAAGAGTGCAGATTATTAAGTCTGTATACTACAGTATATTGCCCTTCAGTAATCACTAGATTTAAATAGAGAAGATGGGCACATAGGACTACCCAATGCAGTAGTTCACACTTCATGATTTTTTGCCCCTATTTTCCCCTTATGACAATCTTAGATCGTTGGCTGTTCTAAGATTGTAGCTGGTGATTTTGTAACCGATCATCATGCAATGTGTGGTGTGTTACGATCGTCTTGGCCACTCCGATATAAATCAGGGGTTTTCCCCGACTAGGAGCGTTAACGCTGAATGTGACAGGTAGCCAATCAGAAAGCGC